TATAAGGTTGATCCAAGGACCGTTCCACACAAAGTCCTGCTTCATGTCCAAGTACTGATAATTTTAAAGTTTTTTTCCATCCAAATAATGCTTTTAAACCAACAAGTTGAGCTTGGAAAGGTGTATTCCACCAAAATACTACTTATGACGATATTAACTGGTTGCTGAGGCTGGCATTTGGACAAACCAAGTAATTAACACACTTATTAACAGGTGGAATAGTAATGGACTCTGCTGCTGTGGCCTCTGTGCTCTGTAGATCTCAAACAGGACACTGATCATTCATTGTGGTAGGTGGCGCTGTCCTGAATAAAAGCCTCTCAGCGTGCAGCTGTAGAAGAAGCTGCGGTCCTGAGAGTGCAGACACACCCTACACATCCTACATGTTCACAGCTGTGAGGCTCCAGTCTGCCCCAAACTTGACACGCTGACTCAGCGCTCCGCCGCAACACCCCGACAAGCGCGACGGCCGACAAGCGTCGGGCGAGGACCCGTCCAATGCTGCTTGCGGCTTTCATTAGGGTCCGAGCACCCAAAGAGGGTGCGAAGAGCCTATTGGAACTGCTAGAGTTTATTATTATTTCTTCATGACAATGAAACTCGTTTTTGAGGTACACAACGTAATCACACTCTCACCAAACTTGCCACACACATCAAACCTGGCAAAAAATTTTCTAATTAGGGGGAAATACTCACCTCAATAGCAAAATGGCTCAACAGCGCCCCCTTCAAAATTACAAAAAATGGGCCCCTGAACACACTTTCACGTACAGCCACAAAATTTGGCACACACATGTAACAACTTGAGACGCACAAAAAAGCCTCAAGAACACATACCCGAAACTCAACAGGAAGTCGGCCATTTTGAAAAAAATGGCGGCTCGCCACTTTAAATTGGCCGATTTTCAAAATTTGCCTCCTCTACGGGGTAAGTCGTACACACCTGAAATTTGGCCAGCACAAACTACACGACATGGTGATTAAAAGTTATCAAAACGCTCCACAGATGAGGCCCGGTTTGGAAATGGCGGCCCGTCCAATTTTGATCAATGGCCATTTTGGCCACTTTTTTGGTTTTTTCCACATTCAACGGGATGCAGTCAGAAGGCCGTTTCATCTACACCTACAAGATTCGGTGGGCATGTGTAGCAGGTCGGGATGCACAAAAGGGTAAATTGCTGCCAAGCACCAACTGTCTCAGTCGCACTCCAGCGAGAAGCAAGGACCCAACCAATGCTGCTTGCGGCTTTAATTATTATTGTTGTTGTTGTTGTTGTTGTTGTTGTTATTGAAAGATTACAGTAAAAATTAAAAGTGCATTTAGGTGTGATGAGCGATCTAAACAAAATGTCTATTCACTCACTCCCAACACATTGTGTACAAATGCAACAATAATGTACATTTGATAATGTAATATACTGTACGTACTTCATACGCACAATAAGATCATATGTCTATTTGTTTAAAACTGCTTGGTTTTAGCAACTACTCATAGGTCGCATGTCTATGCACACTGTGACAATGCAATGCACTTTCTCCAATAGCTATGAAGAAAAAACATTTCAGAAGAAATAATTTGGTACACATCCAATGAAAACTAGGTTTTGACAATGTTCTTAAAGATTTGTAAACTACAGCATATTAGGCTTTCAGACTGGCGATCTGTCCAGGGTGTCCCCTGCCTTTGCCCTAAGGCTCCAGCCCCCCTGCGACCCTAGTGAGGATTAAGTGGTGTGTAGATAATGGATGGGTGGATATTAGGCTTTGTCAATGACCAACACAGGCATTAAATATCTGTCGTTAAGCATGACTTATTAAAAAACGGAACAACAGATTATTTCTTTCTCAGGAAGGAAGACATTGCAAAAAAGTATCAAACATGTATGTCACACTCTTAAGGTAATGGCTGTATGTTATTTTTGAAGATGCAAATATCATTTTTATTTTAACATAATTTAATTCAAAAAGGTAAACTTTCATATATTCTATATTCATTAAACAAACTGAAATATTTCAAGCCTTTTTTGTTTTAAATTATATGAATTATATAATCAAAATTGAATTATTTTGGTGATTATGGTTTATTGCTAATGAGAAACAAAACGCAGCATGTCAAATTAGAATATTTCATTTCAAGTTGTAGTAAACTACTATTCAAACTTTATAAATACTGTGTATCTCTCAGTCGAGTTCACTACACGCATCTGAGAGGTTTGGAGAAGACTGCTGACTGGGCAGTTGTCCAGAAGATGATCATCTACCCCCTCCACAAGAAGGGAAGAACACAGAAGGTCACTGCTGAAAAGACTGGCTGTTGAAGCATATCAATGGAAAGTTGCCTGGAATGGTAAAATATTGCAGGAAAACATGCACAAGCAACAGGGATGACCACAGTCTTCAATCAAGAACTTGATTTCCCTTTCTAGCACGACATAGCATCTGCCTACAGTGCCAAGCCTAAATGGTTTGCTGACCATGATATTACTGTGCTTGACTGGCCAGCCTACTCATCTGACCTGAAGTCCATAGAACCCCATGAAGGATATTGTCATAAGGAAGTTGAGAAACATCTGACCCAGAAATGCACTGAAGGCTACTATGAAGGCAACCTGGGCTTTAGTAACATCTCAGCAGGGCCGCAGGCTCATTGCCTCCAGTTTTAGAAGTTGGAAATTTCCATATTACAAATCCTTTTCTGATTGATCTTGAGAAATATTCTAATAATTTGAGATTCTGGATTTTGATTTACATGAGCCATAGTGATCAATATTTTAGCAAAAAGGCTTGCAATATAATATAATTTTCTATAACACTAATTCATAATATAGAAATGCTTAGTTTGAATTTTAATTAAATTACAAAATTACTTTTTTTTTTTTTTTTTTTTCATACTTTAATTTTGGAGCTGCACCTGTATGTACAATGACCTCTGTCTGTGCATGGAGAGAAAACTTATCTTCTGAGGAACTTTGCACATTCAATTTTAATTTGCACTATGAGAGGTCTCACTTGTCTTCTCCTTTTTTTTCTATCTCTCTGTGACAATATTTGCAGTCCATTATAGACCATGGTTGTTTTTTTCCATTTTTTATATCTTAAGTTCTGTGGTAAAACAGGTTTTGATCTAACTCATCTATCCAAATGTATAGTCTTTGTCTTTTACTTTTCTGTTTTTTGGTTTGGTCAAATATTAAATTGGAAATGCGTTTGATTACAAAAAAATAGACTTTTGCCACAGCAATTAACACTTCACTTCCAGTAGCAAGTCACTGACATACAGCAACAGAAAGCATTCTGTACCTTTAGAATAATTATTTGCCATATAAACGTAAGATCATCGAGTGGTGGACTTTAATTGACATCTCAGACATTCACTAGCCTAAATCTGCAGGTCACCACTCGGTGTAATCTCCAATATGACACACATGACATAAAAAACCCACAATGTTAGCATTTTGTAAGTAGTTTAAGTTTTATTGTTTGGGATCGTAGTGTGTTTTTCTTTTTGTTGATTTCTTTTGTCTCCACCGCAGATGCTGTGCTTTTATTGTGAAATCGAACTGTGGTTGGCTTGACAGATTGGCCCCGCCCTTTTACCGAGGTAGCCATGGAGACCGCGCGAGAGCGAGGCAGCCCTGTAGAGTTCTCACAGCGAGTGTTTCCGCGCACCTAAAATAAAGAGCTGGCGAGTCGAAGACAAGGAAACACCGAGCAGGACTTACGGAGCTACACGACGAAAACATTGTATTTTGTCATCATTTTTTTTTTTTTTTAAATCACATTCTGGTTTGGGTGTCTCCATTTCCATTTTAATGCCTCGAATGTGAAACGGAGAGAGGAGGGCTCGCTGCTGGTAACCTTTACGTTGGTGAGTCGGGTTTTTTTCGCAAGCTAAGCACACATAGGCCACTACGAGATCTCCGACTCTCTCTCCGTCTTTATTCGTTGATTATATAATAGCATACAGGATAAAACGTCGCCAAATATCGAGCGGCGTTGAATAACTTGTCAACGAGAAGAAGTAATTGTCAATTTTGTGTTCGTCAACTAACGTGTTTTAAGCTAGCCGTGATGTGTGATAAACGTAGTTCGCGTTTGGTTAAATGCCGTATTTACTTTCTGACAGGACGGCCGCATTCAGTTAGTTTTAAGTTTCAATTAGTGGCCATATACCACCCTGACAAAGTGCTAAAAAAAATACAGCAAAACCAAAACACTAGCTAGTTAGTCCCATCTGTTAACAGCTGTAGCGTTACTGTATTGTTATTTGGTCTTGTGAACAATAATAGGTACAAGGAAGCAAAAGGGCTGCCGCTGTCGCATAATGTCTGACTGTTTTTATAGTACGTATACGAAGGACTATGTGAAACAAGGCTCTGACAGTTGTATTTCTAGTTATGTTACTTAGTTTGAACAGGGTTGGTTTGGTTTTCTCTATGTTTATGTGTGTGTGTGTGTGTGTGTGTACTGTTGGCAGCCCACCACACTCTTTGTTTAAATAGCTCGCTGTACAGTTGCACGTGTCGAAGCGTGTGACTCTGCTTTAGGACGGCTACGAAGGCAGTTGACCGTGTTTGATAGAGTTGCAGCAGGGATGTGTTATTGAGTTTGGAGGATCTCTTCCCTGTAATATTCCCAACAGTGTAATTTCCCACCCCCTCGCCTTTGTTCCAGTAAAAGTTTTGAGTCGTTTCCTGCTAGCAGGGCAGGGTAAGATATGACACTTGCTATAGCAAAGATCAGGGAAGTCCAGATATGAACTGCTGTTATATATTTATATTGGAGAACAGAACAGGTCGGGGAACTTTCTGGGGCCAAAGTTCCTTACATGAAAATAGTTTGATGTGCTGTGTCTAATATAGATGCAGCACATTGAATGTTGATTATTACATGGATGATCAATGTTTGGTTAAATCCGAGCCGTTGTTATGGGGCTAACTTTATGATAATGTATACAGTGAGACAATGTAATATGGTCATATAGTGATATATGGTCATATACAGTGATAACTAGTCCTTTATGTGGTGTATCCATTTATGTGGCCGCCCCCTGCTTCATTGTAATATCGGGCTTTCATTTGAATTTTACAGAATTAGCCAAACAGACAATCTTGTAAATTAATTCTCACCCGACAAGTATACAACCTGCTGCCAGTTAGTGTTTTCAAGCAGGACAGTGTTCATTGACCAAAGAGAATTTTGTTTGCACTCAGCCCTTTCTGTTGACAGCTCTTATTTTTTGAGGTGACACTGCAATAACACCAGTGACTTGATGGGCTAACTTAGTTCCTTGACATTTTGTAAAACTATCACACTTGTGTGTTGTAGAAACAGTGTATAAAAGGTGTCCAACAATCCCAACGTTTGAGTCTGATTGTTAGAGCTTGTTTGACTGGATAGAGTTGTTAGACAACGTTTTGGCTTCAGATGAACATGTTTTTCTTTGATGAACTGATAAGTAGTTTTTTTTTAAGTATCACAACCACTCACTTGACTCTCATTGTTTAAATACTTTTGTTTTATGTATTGTACAAACTCTGGAGTTCACAGAATTACTGGCAGATATACAAAGTGCAACTTTGATTGTTTAAAGGATGTTGTGTAACTGCAGTGAAATTTTTTAGCACTCCCTGTCCAGCATTGAACAACCTCTGTTTTAGGTGTTTTTGTTTTACAGTATAACTAGAGAAAACATATTGTAAGGAGAAGAACACCGCATTAGGCTTCAGTCCTATTGTCAGATTTCCCTAGCTTTCACCACTGTCAACATAGCATGACAGTGTTTTCGTCATTTTTAGTGTGTTTTCCCTTTTATTCTCTTGTTTCATCTTACTTCTATTTCCTTATGTTCTTTCCTTCTTCCTACTCTGTTTAGCTCTCCTCCATCTTTCTGCCCCCGTCCTTGCGGCAGTACAGAGGGATGCTGAGGCACTGTGGGGCTTAACACTACCATAATACTTCATAACAAAGGGTCCTTTCTGTGCTCCCATGCAGAGCCTCATCTCTGGGCTCCCTCCACAGGCCCATGCAGGCTCTACCAGCAGCAGTAGCACTGGGGTCTATCGGGTGGAAATCTCCTCTCGGCTGTTTCTTTGGCACACTGAGTGCTCTCTGTTCCCGGACACATGCCTGCGCTGCTGCTCTGCCTGGCTCCCTTTGCATTCCAGGAGCCCCAGGCAGCTGAAAAACTGCAGTAGCAGCCTGCTGGCTGGCTGGTTGTCTCACTTGTGTCTGAAGTGGAGAGTTGCATAGTTTTTTCCTCAACTGAGGGACACAACTATGTATCTATGCTTTTCAAACATCTACTTCTTTACTGCACTAGCCAAAAGTATGGCCTACAGATGCGACAAATAGCATAGCTATATTTCACAATATTGTTTAAAGCTACAACTAACAATCATGTTCTTTAGCAAATATTTTTTAGATTATGTGATGTTTTCACTTTGCTTGTTTTTCCAACCAACTGTTAAAGCCCAAAGATACTCACTTCACTGTGATATAAAACAGAGTAGAGATGCAAATTCCCACACTGAAGAAGCTAGATTTAGCTTGTTTGAATTTTTTTGCTTGATAAATGCTTTTTAGTAATTATATTGATCATGAGAATCAACACAATTGCCAAATAGCTCAACAAGGTACATTTCCCACTGTCCTGTTATTCTGACAGTTAGCTTGAAATTTCGAAACTTTGTACGATATAGCATCTGAACCACCAGATAGAACTGGCAACACCAGTTTTATTGGATAATTGAATGTCTCGTCTTGCCTCTTCATGCCCTTGTGGCACAGAATGCTGTGTCTGTATGGTTTAGGAGCAAAGTGAAATGACCAAATTGAACATACAGTACCCATCCTAGCACAGTGCTATACAGTGTTGACATTAGAACTTCATGCTAACGTTAGCTGGCTACATGTAGCTCCTGGTATGAAGTGTTTGTTTGTGTGGTTTGATGCAGAACACTGTTCCAGGAAACTAAATGTCTTGAAGTTTAAAATAGCACCACATTCTTTAATGTCTTGTGTCAAGCTCAACATCTTTGCTGGCGTCTGACAGGAAGCCCACACAGTTGCAAGTTAGGTGACATCTAATCTTCAAGTATTCCTGTGCTTTTGCTGTCAGACAGCCTGCTGTGTTATTAATCAATTAAATGCATGAACATAAAGTCAGCACATTGAACAATCTGCAAAAATTCCTTTAAGGCTCAGAGATATCTTGTTGTAGCTAATTGGATGCTGTATTTTGTAGGGTACCTTAGCACAGAGTTAATGACATCCCCCTTTCTCAGACTCTCTTGTGTGAAAGCAATTAAGCTAATTCTGCTTAAGTTTTCACTTTGCAGATGTACTGGCTGGTCAATACTCTGCCCTCAGCTCTTTCAGGAGGTCAGTCCTGCATTATAAATGCCATCCCAAGCAGTTATTTACACCCCAACAAGTGCATTTTTTGCCCTGCCTTTGACTTTTGTTTGTCCTTGATATTTCTAAGACGTTTATCCGTTGAGGACACCTTCTACGATAACGAAGTGTCTATATAACGCAGCTCTTGCCCTGAGCAGTCTTTGTGCTCTGATCCCGGCATGGGCAAATGAGAAAGCATCTATGGATCAAATGGCTGGCACAGGTCCCCTGCATGTGCTTTTGACTAGCTGTCCTTTGGCTTAATGCCGTACCCAGACTGTCCTGCCAAAGCTGACTTACGTCACTCTCTCCCACTGGCCTTAGCCACATGCAGGTATGTCTCTCTCTTCATCCATTTTAGGGACATCAGAAAGGTGGCAGGCAGTGGGGTGCTGCTGCTTGTGTGTGTTGGGAATTTTATGCCAGTTTATGATCTTGATCATTGGTACAGCCCAGTCCAGGGCACTCAAATATGGAAGCTTTGCATAAAATGTGCTGAAATTGAATTACCATATATTTCTTGCTCCAGTACAGAAAACAGACTACAGTACACAGTAATTCTTATCACCTTCTTTGAGAAATATTGAGAAAGAAGCTGTATTTTCTTTGATCTGTCAAGTCTATGGCATATACCTGATCAGCCTCATATGGCCTGTGTTTTTCTGATGCCACACATAGAATTCATCCTTACAGCATGCAGTGTGTATGCAAACAACAGCTATGTGTGCATATGTGTTTACAGTTAGTTCTTTCATCACTGTCAGGATTGTCTGTGGCAGTGCCAGTGGCCATGCTGCAGATCTGCAATCAAATTTGTGGCTCTCTAAGTGCAGTCATGCCATTACTGTAGCCATTAGCTCAGCAGCCTTTTGGAACTGTAATGGGCCCTCTGCCTTCTCTTGAGAATCCTGCCTGCCAGCCGGCTAGTTCCTCACAAACTGCAGCCACTGCTATTTGGTCCCAATCTCTACATAACCAAAGCTATGCGCACCTGCATCTAATTTATGTAATGATAGTGTATGTCTTATTGTATCCTTCCTAATCAACCAACAAATGCTTTTCGGAAGTTTGTTTCGATGGTATCATGGAGAGAGGATGGGGGTGTTGTCTGTGTGTATATTGCTTTACTTTTTTGTACCACTTATGCTGGTTAAAGGTATCTCGCTGTAAATCTTGATCCCTTTCCTGTCTAACTGTTCTGAGAACCAGGTGTTTAACTTTCTACTTTCATAACGTTTGCATGTTAGATGTTTTCCTTTTTCAGCACCACGTACACTCTGCTTACAGAAAAAGAAACCAAATGGAAAGACATTGTCTACTGCCCATAATAAGTGGTGCAAGAAAAAAAACCTAAGCTTTTTACGCTAAGAGAGCCAATATTGGCTAGTAAAGATACTTTCCATTATGTTGGCCATATTAGTGCTTGAAAATACAGTAGAAATTTCAGAATGCATTAAATAATACTATTATTTTGGAATAATTTATCTCCTAATATCAGTTGCGAAAGATAGTCTGCAGCATATGGATGAGTAGCATCATGACTGAGCTGACATTTAGAGCATAGTATGACAACTGATTATTAAACTGTAAAGCAGTGTAACCTCCTTATCATACCTATACATTTTAGGGGTCCCAGCAGTAAAACTGTTTCAGTGTTTTTTAAAATAATCTAACAAATACATTTTGCTCATGCTGACTGCCTTAATAATACAAAGCTGACTGACTCATTACCGTATGGAAATTGCAGTTGTTTTACCATAAAGCTACAGTAAAATGCAGCCTCTTCGACAAGCTCCTTCTTTTCTGACCATCAGGATTTTTGCAAAACCTGCAGTTGTAATTACTATCAAATTTTGTGCTGACTCTCTCCATCTCACATTTTTAGCCTCTCTCCCCTGATGTTGCTACCGCATCAGCAGCAGTGATCTGTTTCCTTGTTACATCATCTACAACAGAGTGTAATGGCTGGTTTATTTAGTTAGATCTTGTGGCAGAGCCAGGAGTACGGATTGAGGGAAGATCAGAGGAACACTCTAGCTTCTGCTGATGCTGCTGTTGGAGGGTGCTATTCGTAGAATTAATGTATGAGAAGAGGAAATGCACTTAGAGTTATTCATGCAGTTATTGTTATCAGCAAACCAATTCTACTTAATGACGTGCAGAATAGGCCTTTTCTCTGTAACTCACTGCTTCTCTTCCTGTCTATATAACTATCTCTCTTTATTCCCTCCTGTCTCTCTGTGTTGCTTCTGGTTACGTAATCCTTGCTGAATGTTGATAGTAATCCGTGTTCTCCCTCCCCCTCCCTCTCTATCCCTTCCCCTCAATGTGGCCTGGACAGGTTAAGCCGTAGAGGACTCTCCCTGGTTGTTGGAGGAAAAGATGTGCGATGGAATGGTAGCGTTTCAGACGAGAGCTCCGTCCTCCTATTTTTCATCCTCTTCCTCTACCTCCTCCTCTCTAGCCCACAGGCTGGCTGCCTCCGCACTTCTCCTCCTCTTCGTCCTGCTCCCCCATGGTCACGCATCAGGTAAGCCACACACACAAACACACACACACATTTTTATCTCTGTGTGTGCTCCCACATGATACACATCGAATAAACCGCCATCTTTGCCTGTCTCCTGTGAATTGATTGAGGTTATTTTCCCCTCGTCTTGCAGGTCAGTTAGATTAAATTGGCTTCCTTTACCCTTGGGTCGGTCAGGTTGCTCTGCCTCAGAGCAGCAGCTGAGAGCTCAATCCCACACACTCCGTGAATCCATTCACTGTCCTAATGAGTCACAACAGTTTTCCTCCGCTATTGAGTGAAACAGAGAGATGATGTTGTCTGCGGTCACATTGCTGTCATAAGGTTTTAATCAACCATGACATTAGTGTCCTCTGAGAGCTTTTAGCACAGCTAGCCAACTTTGGTTTTTCACCCCACAACAACCTTCAGATCAGAATTTGTATTTTAGCCTTGGGTCTTAGAATATTATCGTTTAATGTGCAGTGTCAGGTTTCAGATTGAACTGATTGTTGTCAAATGGAGAGAAATGTGGTTGACACGTGGATCTTAAAGTAAACAAGTATCTATCAAGCACTACAGGACCTAGAGAGTTCATGTCTTTTATTTCTTCTAAAGTAAAACAATGCTGATGGTGTGAACTCACTGAACCCTTTCACTTGTGCCAGCTTTCCTTTCATTCCAGCCTTACGATTTTCCAGGCCCCTCCCCCCACATACAAACACACACTACCTCTTCACATGCACTACCCACACACACTCGCATGCGCTCTCCATATACAGCCGGCTTGTGAAATGTGCCAGATGTCCTTGCCACAGAGAGCAAGTAGACTGCATGTGTGAATAAGTAAATGTGTGTGAGGAGTGATTTAAGGCTGCTTGATGTTTATAAGCAATAATTGATTTTCTTTCCTTAATGCCTTAAATAGATAGATCTCTTTATGAGTGTGAGAAACAAAAGGAATATAAAGTGAGAGATGGGCCGATGAGCAAGGAAGGAGAGCACTGCTGATCCCCAGTGTATCATCTCTCTCTCTGTCTGTCTTATGTAACACACATGATTCATGTGGAGCCCAGAGGGGCTGGTATCACGCTCACGTTCTGCGTCCAACACACTCACACACATACACTGTCTACCAATGCCAACAAAAATGTGTCCTTAAATCCCCAGCCCACGTGCTCTGGGTACTGTACATGTCTCTTTGCGCAATCCTGTTTTTCTGATTGACTTACACACTGTGCTTTGTTATGCATCCTAATGGGCTGTACTCAAGTGTTCTGAGTAAAATATATATCCTGTATTGACCATATTCTGACCCGTTGGTACATTACATAGGGAAACATGCACCTGAAGAATTCTTTCCAATACTCATGATGCACCTGTCCCTTTAAGACTGCCAGTCAACTGCTGGAAAAGGACACAGAGTTCTCTAGACTCCACCACAAGGCCTAAGGTCTAAAGTGTTCCAGACCTAATATCTCATTAGCTGCTTGAAGGAATTTACATGGACCACACACCCATTTACCTTAACTTTTTTATTTTTTATGAGCATTATTTTATTTCCAAACCAGACATGAGAGCGTCACTTAAGATCCCCACGTGAACGTGAAAATCTGCCAGTTGTTTGTGAGGTGTACACTGAAATGGTTTATAAAGTATCTTTTTAAAAATGTATTTTTTTTTTTAACTGCCAAATTGTGTCAAACAGGACCTCCAATTTATCACCCTGTCAGTATTTATTTGCCAATACCAGCTGGCGATTGCTTAGTAACTTTATTACTACTGTAGTCTCTCTAGATATTCACCTACCTATACAATACCATCTCATGACAAACCTGAAGTTTCAGAGCACTGTGTTGTGTCTAGAAACTGAAGATGCAACGGTCCCAAAACGAAAGTTGTTTTGTCACAGTATTATGGCATACATGCCCTGCAGTTGTAGAAACATCCCTGAGCACATCCGTTCCACAAAAGGTCTGCTTACGTTATGTGTTCTGTGTAGCCACAGTGTTAGCTGTTCTTGTAGCTAGTATTTATGCTGATTCACAGCTCTAAAGTTCTGTCTCTTTGAAATTGGTGTAAGCTACTAACATATAACACCAGTGAATGGCATTTCCATAAATTGCTAGGCCAGTTGTACTCTTACTTAACCTGTTAATGTTGAATGAGTATTTTCAGTTTAGGCACTATAGCATTAATTTGATCAAGCAGCACAAGACACCGATATTGAAGAATGAAACATTTAGAGCCTTGGCTCCTTAATAAGAAAAGTAACTAAAGAATAGCGAGAAGATTTTTTTGTATTTACAGTTTAAAGTATGAAATGAAATCTATAATTACACGTATTAACATAAAGGTGAGGTGCTCATTTTAAAGCTTTAAAGTCATTGTTAGTTGTTGCATTCACTGGCCCCCCTTTCTCTCTCTCTCTCTCTCTCTCTCCCTGTCCTGCTCACCATACATAATTCACATAGGTAATCCCTTGACGTGTTCCAAAGATGGAGATTGCTGTGGAAATTTCATGAATATAAAATTTCATCACAGCTGACAGGCCTATTCCAGACTCATACAAATAGCAGTGGGCTGTATGAATAGAAATGGATACTAAAAAAATATACTGTACTTTATTTGCATACTAGAGCAAAAACAAACACCAGAGAGAGGAACACATCACAGAGCAGCATCAAACCTGTATTTTTGGTCTTTGGAGGTTTATGAGCCACTTATGTGGATATTAATCTTTGAGGAAATATTGGTTTTCAATGATGGGAAATAGGATTGAGTGACAGAATGATTGACAGTAAAGATTGGGGTTCTTCTCACCATTTTCCTTTAACAAAGAAAGGAAAAGCTTTAAGCTTTGGTATTGCTGGGTTCACATTCCCTTTAGAAAGGTCAGGACAACAATTTCTTGCAACTGTTAATTTGTCCGTTAGGAAGTAGTTACAAAGGCATTGGAGAAAGGTATTTTTAGATCCAATCACAGTCCAAGTCGTGTCTTTTTTGTCTGTTGTTCAGCTGTTCATTGTCAATTAGATTACCAGCAGGGTACATGCTGTGTTAATGTAAATGGCTCACTCGGATTTGTGTTTGTGATTACTGCGCATGATTACTTTTGTGTTTATGATTCAGGACATTCCTCCAAAAGTAGCAACATGCTAAGCAAAACATCCTGTTCATTGAAGCAGGGTGCCAGTAAACAAACACAGCTACAAAGCAGCACCTTGGCTTTTGTATATGCAAAGGATAAATGGCATCAGTCTGGAGGATTTTCGGTGCACAGTGCAAATGTTGCTTGTTTAATGTCTTTTTTGAGTCTATCTGACATCCCACTTATGTTGGCTACATAGAACTCAATTCCTAATATGGTGTCAATTCCTAACAGTAAGCCTTTGTGGTTTGTTTCAGAGGAAGTGGGCCCAGACAGTGAGTCACTGTAAGAATAAAGATGGGAACAACACCAAAGGGTCTATTCACATGATCACACTGTGTGTTGTCTGCTCTAACTTTGTTTTATGTCAGGACGCAGAAAGGCTTAAGCCATCCTTCGGGTCCAGTTAAATAGATAAATGTTGCCCTCTAAAACAACATTCTCATCTGAAGTTGAGTTAAAGCTTTACATGAAAGTGCGAGCAAGAACCCGAAGTCTCCAACAAACAGGCCTGCTGTGTACTCTGTGTGGTGGTGACGTTAATGTATGTTCATGTGTGAGAACGGGAAATGGTTTTTCCTGGGCCTGAAAAAGTGGAGTCATAGGATAAAGAAAATAGCAGAGAGAAAGGGGAGGAGAGCAAGCTAGGGAACAGAGGCCTGTCTTTATAATATCCTTTACAGTTTGTGTTTGTTTCTGACAGCTGATTGTTCACCATTTATAGATACAGTGGAATGCATTTTTTTTCTGCCCGATCAAGAGTTGTTGCACAGACAGATCCTTTTGTTTTGGCAAGCCATGAATCAGTGTGCAGGACCAATCTGTGGATATAAGGATTTTTTTCTCAAAAGCTAAGTTTTGAGTCTCAAGGAACAAGACTTGACAACTCTTCTTTCTCTATAATAACAGAGTAGACTCTAGTGGCTAGCATAGCGTCATTGCTCTGACCACAGAGGAAAATATCTGAATGAGCCATGCCCTACTTCTGGCATCTTCAAACAGCTGTAGACTTTGAAACTTGTTGCTTTCTGTAGAAACAAAATGGTGTGTGATTACCAAAGAAGCCACAGTGTGTGAGTCTGCCGGCGCACGATTGGTTTCCAGCCTTCGCAGAAAGTTTGCTGGATAGGCTAGGTTTACAAACAGTGCAGCCCAAGGGAGGGGGGGAACAATAGTTCCACTGCAATTAACTTTTCAGAATAGTCCCCTGAAGTCCTGTTAGCAAGGCGGTTTGCAGGCAGGCAGGCAGGAGGAAAGCAACACATTGGCTACTGCCTGCTTTCTGAAATGTGAGAACAAAGAGGGCTTTTAGGGAGTGTTGGAGGCTACAGCCCAAACCACAGCAAGCTGCAGCTCCACTAGATCACCAGTCAGCAATTAGGCCTGCTAACCCACTCTGTATGTGCACGTGATGGAGTGTATTGAGCACAGTACAGCCCCTTTTCTATGATGTCTCTGTTCTTTTTTTCCACTCCCCTTCTCTCTCTCTCTCTCCCTCTCCCCTTTTCTCTCCTTCTCTCCCCTTCTCGCTCCTTCTCTCTCCTTCTCTCCTTCTCTTTCTCTCTTAGACTCCAGCCATTAGCCAGGTGAGACTGGAGCCCATTAGCAGCAGTCTGGTCAAATCTATCAGCCTCTCTCTTTCATTACCTGTGTGTTTATCACTTGAGCCATCACTCTCTGCTCTCACCCTGTGTCATTTAACAGCTCTCCCAACCAATCAAGCCCTAAAGGGAAACTTTAAACGCCTCACCAGGCAAAGAAATACTCCATGAAAACAGATACTGCAGTGCGGACAGGCGACGCAAGACCATTTCATTCATTTTAAAGTGTTGACCAGACAGTTCCATTTCTGGGGAAGATCCCAGATGGC